TTTCTCAGAACAACACAACATTGTCAATGACATGAATCACAGTCACAATTCAAGTTCAAAATCTATCAACTCACCAACAATCTTCTACCTTCATTTTCGTTTTCACCACAACATTTTGACACTTTTCTCGTACTCGTTCACTCAAAAATTCCACCATCGCGTTATTCTCGATGATATATGCGACTTCGTCTCTCGGATCCGGCGGTTGCAATCGAATTGCTGACTTCGAGCAACTATCGAGCACCTTTAAAACTGATCATTACCACCACCGGACAGGTTATTTGTTGCACCATAATTACTATTCATTTCATTAATGCTACCATCACAACATTCACATCTGTTATTATCATTACCTTTTCAAATTATACTTCATTTTTTAAAAACCTAACCGATAAAAAAACATCAGTTCAAAACTATTCTAGAACTGACTTCAAGTCGGTCGACTCGCTTTACTCGATATTCCTGTAGCTTGTTCCATATGCCTAATCCTGAAATTATTTGATTATTAAAGAACTTCTGATTAACTCATTTCCGAGCATCATTGACACTTAATCCGAATTATATTGGATTTCATTTCACTTCACGATTGGATGAGTTACAACGTGCATCACGAATGAAATTTAGTACAAATCTAAAGAGAGTCATTATTATCAGATGTATCAAGAAACAAGCACCAAGATACTAAAATTAAAAGTAAATTGAAAACATACTTTTGAAAAGATCCAGCGAAGACGGCGTAATAGCTGACACTCGATTACTGTACAGTTTCGTTTTACCCAGCGGTTTGGGATCACCAGATTCCAATAACAAAACCTTCTTCGAACTTAATACTTCACTTAGGCCTGGAATCACAATATCACTACAGATGCTTTTGCATTTTCAAAGAACTCTTTTGTTTTTGATTAGATACTTATGAAGAAATCCTTTCAAATGCTTAAACACTGTAAAGCGAATTTACAACAATGTTAAGTCACGAATGAAAAATAATATCTCAACGAATATCGCGAAAAACTATTGAATAAGTCATCTCGTTAAAAGACCGATGGATCGAGGTAGTTAATTGTGCAAATAATTTCACTTATAATGATAAATTC